TCGTAAAATTGCTATAAAATCGTTAAAAATACAGATTTTTGATCAAATAAGATTATTTCCCTTCAGAAGTCTTCAAAAAATGGCACTATGTTGCTTATTTAACATAAATGTTTTACTAACTGTAAAATAATCTTATCTGTTATATGCAAAAATTAGTTATTATATGTTTTCATTGCCACATCATGCACGAAAAGCTCAATGGATGTGTTTAATTCTTTTTTGCATCCTATTCAATGTTTTCTGTAGGTTTATGGTAAACAATTTTTAAAAGGTAGCCAGAGAAATTAAATTTGTTTAAAGGTCAATAAAATATTTAAGTTTCTTCATTAAAACTATAAGCGTGTTAAGTTATTTAAAAATATTTTTGAACGGGGTTGTCATGGGAAACTTCAAAGCCCCGGCGGCATAGGTAAATATTAACCGATTTTAAAATAATCAAAAATACGTGTCTCCTTGGTTTTTGATATTTTTCAGTTCTGTTGGAGGCAGCAATACCAGTATTTTTGGACCACCCTAATGCACATAAATATGTATAGGAATATTTAATTTGATGAAGTTGATATTTTTACCTGTTAAATACTCAATTAAATTTACTATTTCGGCAGCTGAGTGGAAGATCGACCTATGTATCTCCGCAGCCAGTCCGAAAGCGCTCTATCTCAGAAAATTTTTCAAGAACGCCTAGGGTTCGAACGATACTATCGATATTGAGTAAGTATCGATACTGAGGGTATAAAAAATGACTACTTTAATACTCGATATCTTATTTGGTGATTTTACTCGATACTTTGCAAAGTACTCGTAGTATCGAATACTTTTTAAAAAACACACTTCTTAAATTTTTTCTTCCATTGGCAACCCAATTTTCTTTGCTTATATGGATTACTATCATTCAATTTTGTCCATTACTTAAGATAAACTGAAATCTTGTGTAGTCTGTTGCATAACATGAACCAAATAAGTTAAAGTTTAATGGCCTTATTAATGAAAAATAAATAATAAAGTAGGTTTAAAGAGCTAATAAAATGACATTTTCATATATTTTTCACTTTATATGCCTTTTTTATTTTTTATGAATAAGGCCATACAACTTTACGCAAAGTTCACGAAAATTCAGAATTTTTAGAAACTTTTTGGGTACGCAGTTTTGTAACCTATTCAACTTTACTTGTAGCCTACTACCGTCAACTCTAAATTCAAGCTTGCACATTGTTATACTAAAATTGAATAGGCTACAAAAATGCATCCCTGAAAAGTTTACAAAAATTCTTAATAAAATTATAAAATATGTGTATATGTACATTTAAGATTAAAATTACTTCTAACGTGAAAATAAGTTCTGCAATGAAATAAAAATCAAATATTTTAAATTTTTATTGTTTTAATTTCAGGAAATAACTAGATATACGATTGAAGAATAAAATAATTTTAGTATCCCAAAAAACGTATTTTAATGAGTCCGATACTGAGTAGTATCGATACTTTTTCCCTGATACTTTTAGAGTATCGATACCTTGAGCTCGATGCCAGAATGAGTACTCAGTATCGATACCAAAGTCTCAAATTTCGAATACTAAGAACGCCCTACTTCAGAATTTGACTCAAGAGCGCCCTGTTTCAGAATTTTATTGAAAAACATCTTTTCTCAGAGTTTGGTTGAAGAACGCTCTTTCTCAGAATCCGGTTCAAAAACACCCCATTCTCATCTGAACGCGCACGCACGAAAAATTTCTGCATTAGAAGAAAATCAAAAGGAATAACATCGTAAAATATCGGCTCCATAAAACACCAACGTCTCGTAAGTGCTAAGCACACGTAATTTAAATGTCACCTGCTTAATCAAATTGATTGCAGTCTAAATTGGAATGAGACAGAAGATACTCGTAGCTTAAAGCGGGCCAAGGCTGGGGGTGTCGATGTCCTCCAACGCCCAAAAGCAAATAAACAAACTTACAACCGCATAACAGCGACAGCAAAATTCACGACTCCTCGCAAATTAATTACTCCCAGCGCACAATTAATAAGAAAAAAAAACAACAACAACAAAGCAACCATTACACGAACAACAACAAAAACAATAACAACATCATCACCTTTGCTGCTCGAAACGAGCAAATTAATACGAAAAGTGAAGTGAAAAATTGCGACAACCAAGCGCAACAAAGTGGAGCATTGCCGAGTCGGCAGCGCAAGTATGCGTGTGTTCAAATGCATTTGTTTGGGTTTGTAAGTGTGTGAAAATTGCTAATTACCGCGAGCGCGTAGAATGTAATCTAAAACAAAAAAAAAAGCGAAAATGAAAGAGTAGCGGCGTAGTAGTAAGGCCAAGCAAATGCGTGTTGCAGCTACAACAACAACAACAACAACAGCAACTACACGCATAACAAAGAATCGCATCAGTAGACCCGACAAATTGCAACAATTTATCAAATATGATGCATTTTTCGCACTCAAGTTACCGCCGTCAGTGCCAAATGCAGTGACGCTAATGTTAACAATTTGTTTTTGTTGTTTGGCATTATTTGCCAGTCCATTGCCAGTGACAGTAAACAGCGGTTGGGGCGGCAACAGCGCAGAGGGAAACGTCGGAAACGGTAGTTAGTTAGGTTAGGTTAGGCGACTGCTTTGGCTGCAAAATGAGACAGTTGCTCGAGCGGCAACGAATTTTCATATCCGAGGTTAAGGGGCGTTGTGACGGCGACGACGACCTCATTTTCAATGCATTGCGTATTTAAGCACGCACTCGTATATACCTGTGTTTGTACATATGTATGTAGTTGCAACTGGATTAGCTGTTCCTTTTTTTAATTTCTTTTTCATACATTGCGTGCGGTGTGCACCTTGTGGCTTCTGTATTTGTTGTTATTACTTTTGCTCTTTCAACAACAGTATAAGTAATTGTTGTTGTTGTTGCTCAGACTAGATGTGATTGTAGCCGGCTTCTATGTACTGGTCGGCAGACTGTTGCTCTTAACCNTTTATAAAAGGGGCGTGGCACATACCATAGGCGTGAAATTTTTAATCAGAAATAACTTCGGAACCGCAGGTCACGTGAGTTTGGAATTTGGTGAGAAAATCTATGGTAAGCGAGTTTGTACAAGAGGGCGTGGCATGTTTAGTAAATTGAAGTGAGTGCTTACCAAGGGCGAACCATAACCTTGGACCCATTACAAACAGACAGCTAAACGGAATGCCTTATTTTAAAGTAAAAAGCGATGAGAGTTGGCAAGAAGTCGTAGCACCGTATTTTTTGAAAATGAGTGTCAACATTGCAAAAATTCATGTTCCTAGCCACTTAAATGGAGGAGTTATAACGAAATATCTTATATCTGAACAATCAGTTGTATGGGAGCTATATGTTATAGTGGTCCGATTCGTCCGGTTCCGTCAAATGATTATTACATTATAAAAATACACCCACCTACCATCCGGATATCTCGAAAACTGAGAGACTAGATTGCATACAAACAGACGGACAGATGAACATGGCTAAATCGACTCAGATCGACATTTTGATCATTTAAGTATACATTTTAATGGGTCTATCTCATCTTATTCCGGTACTTACGAACATAGGACCAAAGTTATAATACCATTTCATGCTCATGAAAGGTATAAAAAGTGTGATTGTATTGCTATTGTATCTGCAAAATTGACTTGTGTAAAACCCAAGTACGCGGCCATGAGGAACAGCTGACTCTTGTTTGCAGACGCAACACCTTCATTGTGGCGTATCATTACGATACGTACGCCACTTCCTTCGCATACTTTTCCATTCTGATGGGCATATCTCTATTTTCAGATATTACTACGCTCCAAATCAGAATGTCAAACTAAACGCGTGAAAGATCTCAAATTTCGATCTTTTGGGGGTCTTTTGCGAGTGTCGGATAGAGATTGTGCCGGATAACCGGATTCCGGATATTCACAGGTCTGGAGTCTACGTAACTTGAGACTGACTGCCTGTGAATGCCGCTTAGAGACTGTCGATATACTGACAGGTGTAGAGGTCGTCAATGGTAAATCTCTGCGAACCACCTTCCTCAGTGAACTCAAAAAGAGTGTTTCGTGCACCGGGTAGCATTTATGTTGAAAATAGAAATGCGTTCTTGATCGGTAATGCGGAAATGCTTCTTTTCATAATGAAAAATATAAAAAATGTTAACTCTTAATTACTAGTTAGACACTATTAAATTTGATTACAAAAATAAAAAAAAAAAACTTAACTAGATTTTTAAATAGAATCTTCTATAATCGAAATCCCGAAGTTAACTTTTTTTTTTTAATAGTCGGATAACAGAAAAAAGGCCGGATAAGCCGGATTCCGGATATCTACCGGATACCCGGCACATCCCTAGTCCTCATTTTTCCTAGACTAATCTGGTCACCCTAACTTTACAATCATTACCATTATTATTACCATTACTTTTACCATAATCATCATCATGTCCATAACCATTATCATGACTACTACTATTGCCATTGCCATTACCATTACTTTTACCATTATCATCACCATGTCCATAACCATTATCATAACTATTACCATTGCCATTGCCATTACCATTAATTTTACTATTAGGATTACTAATACCATTACCAGCATACAACATTACCATTACCATTACAATCAAAAGTACGGAAAATTATTTTGCAGTTACAGCAAAATCTATTGTCTGAGATCAATCATGCAGCTGCCAGTACTTGGATTGGTTCTTATGACGGTTGCGACCGCTAAAAGCAGCAACTACACCGAAGTGACAATGCTGGTTGACACCACTGACCGCCAAAGCTATAATAATGAAGCCCTAAATAACATCAAATCTCACAGCAATGATAATTCCAATAGCAGGAACATAATTGCGAACAACCACAAAAGCGATGAAAACGATGAACTCAGCATGAAAAACAATGCAATCACTAATTATCACCGGCATCACACAAACAACAATAACAACAACAGCGCAGTTGCATTTGACAACAGTAGCGATTTTGACACAATGGCCATTAGTTCGAGAAAAACCAACAACAATAACCCATCATTGTCAAAATCAGCTGCTGGCAAATACGCAACACTGCCACGCCATCAAAGGTCAATCGCAGCGGTGGCCAAACAGAGGGGATTATTACAGCAGGTGACGTATGGTGAGCGCATCTTGCGGCGTGGCAAACGGTATTTGCAATTTGCCAAAGGCTCGCGTGTCTCGGTAAGTAGTTAACGAATATCGGTATTGTACGAATGTGTTTGTATTCAATCAGCTGCACAATAATTTTTTGCTCGATTGTTCATTTTTTTGGCTTTTATACTGGCATACCTACATACATATGTATGTATATGTAAGTATTTTTTACGAATTTTCATTTCTATTTTCACACAAGTGGCGTACAACTGGCAAAAATAATATTTTGAAGGTGAATACCCTCTGGGGTTATGGTTATGGATTTCGCGCCAATTTCCCCTTTCCTGGTCCTGAGGAGTCGCGGCGTCCCTTCTTCAAGCGCGATGTATTACATTCACTTGCAGATGTCCTGGACGGGTTAGATCAGGCTTATTCTTTGTGAACTATTTACAAAATCCGACTTCCTAATTTATTTTTGCATATTTTCGTTTTTAGACATGGCTTGGATGGCCGAGCTTGCATCCTGAAGTCTTATTGTACGGCCGCTTTAGATGTGGACTCAAATATTAGCGGTGGCATGCTTTTCAAAATGCTGAAACTTATTTTTACGTAAGTGCAAGAATTTAAAAATATCAGTATATGTTTATGTACTTATTTAAAATTATATCTATAAAAACTATAGAAGAAGCACATGAAAAAAATTAACTCCGACTGATTTTCTCTACTGGAAAATTTGATTATTTGATTATTTCATGGTTACCATGAAGATTGTCGACTGCTTTGTGGGGGATTTTATTGCCGCCTGCCTATTAGTGAAGATATAGATATCAACTTGGGGGTACTATATCACACTTTACCAGTTTCCAGTGGCTCTGTTGATTGCCATCAGTTCCGCATGAAAAACGCTGCAGTGGTCCGGGAGACGAAAGCTAAGGGAGATTTCCAGGTGATGGGATCTGTGTATACAGAGATGGACTTTCCACTCCTTACAACTTTTTGCTTTCACTCTTCCCTTGAGGGTAGGAGGGTCGTAAACGCTATTGCTGAAACTCCATTAAATAATATTCTACCGTAACCATAACTGCTATTTGACTACTTATGTAGAATATTCATTCGAATTGCCGCACCGCTTGCTTCCTGATTGGCATGCAGGTCGAGCGGAAGAAAATTCAGTAGGGCATACCGTGCCTTGGATGGTGTTGTTCTCATCGCACCAGTTATAAGTGTGGACGCAAAGTTTTGCACCTTATTATTTTTTAAAGTTTCTCCTTTTCCTAAGGGAGTTCCACCATACCACTATACCGTGATAATAGAATTGGCCTAACTATCGCTGTGTATAGCCAGTGTATTATTTTGGGTTCCAACCCCTATCTTTCCCCTTTCGGTCAATGTTGAGAGATGTTTACCCCAGATAGCTATTACTCTGTCGCCGGCGTATGCAATTATCTGACCGCCAATATCTTCAAGTTCTCGAAGAAGGTTGTAAATTGCTATGTTCTACAGTAGCGGTGTATTACTCCGCCTCCCTTGGGTGTACCCCTGACCGGGAACTTTTTGTTTACTGATTCTTCTAATCCTGCGCTTATTTCTCGTCTCCTCGGAAAGCCAGGTTAGTGAATTGCTTACAAGGATTAGAGACATGCGCTACTGTTCAGTATTTTAGTTTAGAGTTGTGAAGTTATTGTAGAGGCTCGTCGATATCTTTGTTGTGGTCTTGGAGTAATGTATGCATATACAGCGTCGCAAAATGTTACACTGGTTATAGCTGGGCTGATTTCACTGGACCTGTCGGCTAAAGAGTTTATCGGAAATAGGAGAGCTGGCACTACTGAGAGGACATACGTGAGAGACCTACCTCTCCCCACTCAGTGTTATACCAACATCGGTTTATTTTTAGTCTGCAGGTGGACTTTAAGGCTTCCCCACGTATGGCGACACAAAGTGACGCTAAGTGAAGCTGTGCGTCAAGAGCAGCACCAGGTTTTGTAGGGAAAGCTCTCATGTAGCGCACAGCAATCGCTCTTTCAAGTTTAGCGATCAGATTTCCCACGATACTGATTGATAGTCTGCCCCCCATGCCACAGATGCAGAGCTGATTTTGGGTCTGATCATAGGGGTATAAGTTTAGAGGATTCCCTTTGGTGACAGACCCCACATTTTTCCAAAATGCTGCCAATGCTTTGGAGGTCTTGCGTTCCACGCGAGATTTCTACGACAGGTTTGTATACAGAATTACTCCTAGTTACTTCACTTCGGCAGAAGTCTGAATTGTGACTCATTTAAGAGCGAGGAGAATGAGACCTCCAACCTTCTCCTTCTAGTGGTTGGGTGGGCGGTTACCCCATTTCCATTACACTAAGTGTCTATCATATTCAGTATTGTCTGTGCTTTCCTGCAAACAGCTAGACCATATCGCCAAGATAGGCTTGGGCGTAGATATCAGAGTCATTAAGGGTGACAAGAAGACAATCAATTACCGGGGAGCCCTTGTTAACTTAGCAACTGTGATAGTCAATATCCTCCTGCCTGACTCCTGAAGACCTGCTGAGCCAGCATTGAACGAATCCAATTTACCAGTACAGAATCTACTCCATGCCGTGGAGCAGACATGCACATACTATCGAAGGTGGCATTCTCAAAACAATAATTAGTTTCTACAAATACGGCCAAGGTGAATTCTCTTTTCTATTGATGGCTATGCTAATTCCGGCTACCAGATTTTACCATCTGATAGGCAATTGACAGAGGATGTGATGAGAGCGCCTCACATGTCTATCCCAGACATACGTACGATTGACGTACGGTATGACGCAAAACGAAAAAAAGTCCAAACAGTAAAAAAAATAAAACTTTTCTGAGCACAAAAGTTCTAGAGACCCTGAAAAGGATATAGAAGGTTCTGAAAAATTACGTCGAAAAACATTTTTTTTTTTTAAAGTCGGAAAAGTAAAATTTTTGAAAAAAAGAAACTAAAAATTTTAGTAGCCAAATTACGCCAAAAAATGTTTATTGAAATAATTATACTTCGGATTTTATTAGATTAATTTTCAGAATTTTTATTCTTGTTTTCTTCCTTCGCTTCTCAGAACACTTTTCATATTTATTTTTTTTTCAAATTTAACTTCCACTCTTTAAAATAGATGCTTTTGTTACTCTAGAACTCTTGGAACTCTAGAACTTGAAAAGCTACACAGGACAGTTTCAGTTTTTATTTTTTTTTAAGTTTCATTTCTTGACTCTTTTGAAAAAAGTGATTTTTTCGGCGTAATTTTGCAAAACTTTCTTTTTTTTGTTCTCAGGAACTCCAGAACTTTCGAAAAGCAACTCAGAACAGTTTTAGTTTATATTTTTTTTAAACATTTTACTTTTTCGACTCATTTGTAAAAAAAAAAATGTTTTCGTGAGCGTAATTTTGCAGAACTCTTTCTTTTTCCTTCCCAGAGTCTCTAGAACTATTGAAGAGCTACTCAGAACAGTTTTAAATTTTATTTATTTTTTTTTAATTTAACTTCTTCGACTTAAAAAAAAAAAAACAGTTTTTCTTGGCGTAATTTTGCGTAATACAAAAGGAATGCGTATACCTGACCCAAGGTTCGTTATATGGTAATTAAAACACATTTTTTATTGAAATATTTTTCAATAGCTGGCTTTCCGTTGGCTTTCCTCGTTTAAACATTTCAGTTATAAAGCTATTTTATTCCTCTTTAAGTTGATAACAATCTTGTTTAATTTGGATAAGCCGTTTGTTTATTTTACTTTCGACTTAAAAATATCTGGCCAATTTTAACTGATGAAAAAAAGTAACTGTTATTTACGGTCCCTACTTTTAAGTATCGATACTATTAAGTCAATGCGCTGCTCAGTCATACAAAGCAAGAGTATGCAATAATTGAGGCTCAACGCATGCCATTCTCTGACCAGTACACGACAATGACTCGAAGAGGCATTGGGGCATCTATGGGGTGGGTGTCGCTGCAGTTTTCCTTCTTTTGCCCTGATCGCCAGCAGACTTGGATGACGGTGCATCCACCAATGTCTCACTGGTTTCTGGAGTAAAGTCCGTAGACCAGGACCGCTTACTGGATGCAGCGACAGGAAGAGTTTGGCCAGCCACACAGGAGGGTTTCCTTTGCTTGTGTGGCGCCCCCGATTCTTCCTCCTTCTCCTCCTCTTCTGGGTTTGTGAAAGAGGACCAATTTCTTCATTGGAGGTCCGTTGGCAGCGAGCTGCTTCCCGACCCATATCCCCTGTGGATGGATTTACACACATGTGGGTACTAACTGGTGTATTTAAATCCATGCGTTGTGCCATTGTCATGAAGTGAGGTGTCCCAAACTAACAGGGTTGGTGGGTGTTCCTTAGGGTAATTTTTCCGTCATCCTCCTGCTTCCCGAGACGCATGGATTTTTGTCTCCTTTTATGAAAAGTACGCCTTACCGAAAAACGAAAAAAGAGAGCTGTAACTATTGTTTTCGCTACTATTTTAATAGATTAGAAATATTTTAGTTAAAATGGATTTGATTGAATTTCCCTTTTAGCTTTCTAGCTAGCTTGCTAGACCTCTAAACCGCGACCGCGACATGATCGTAGTGTTGTTACCCCTAGATGCAAAGATGGAGTTGATGTGTTCCAACTCCTTTCATCCCGCGCTGCTTTTACGATGATTAGGCTGAAGGAAGGAGATGAAGATGATTGAAGATGTGAGCTACTTTAACTGCATGAAAAGTGGGTAACCAAAAACTTTTCTCAGTAGACTGGGGTAGACTTTTGCGTACAAAAAGTCTTACCGCATTAAATTTTAGCCAATTTTTTCAACATACATAAATACAAACTCACTGAATTGACTTCATTCAAGAAATCTGCTGTAGTACTTCGAATAAAACTTTCCTTATTAGCCGTTTTAAAATGATTTTGTTAAATTCTCAATTACACTTACAAAAAGTGAAGTAGTGCAATGATGCGGTAAACGAGGCCATTGGTGTAACTGTACTGTAAAGTCGCCGCAGCAACAAATACACGATGAATAACAAAAAAAAAAAAACAGCAACTTGAAACCTTCAGATACTTTAATGCATAAAAATCCTGTAAAAATTCGCGAATACCCTAGAAATGCTTGGGCTCTTCGATGTCAGACTGGCAGACAGCGAATGACAGATGCTGCGACTGGTTTGCATTGCATTACGGTCAGCAGAGGGGGCACTGCAACTCACACATTGTATTGTAGTGGCATCGCGTGTTAAATTGCGTTGTTGTACTAAGTTGAGTGGCTGTCGAATTTAAGAGCTTTTACCAAGCCCCATCCGCCTCACTCCCAATCCCTTTTGCCCACTGCTGGCGCTGCTGCGAAGTAAGATTGTCCACACGCGACGCTTTAGTGTTATGTAATACTTTGTGCTTTTTCGTCCTTGTACTGTTGCGCTGTCATTAAATTAAAATAAATTGGTTTAAATTGAAAATAAAGCGTTGCACAAAAGTTCACTTTATGTAAGTATCTGTGCGCATTTTACGATGCCAACCAATAGCGTTGCTCGCAAAAAGTTGATTGCAGGACAAAATATAAACTCGTCATATATATGTACATATGTATGTATGTATGTATGTACTTTGTGCTTTCAAGAATTTTTGGTTGATTTGTATATACCGTCACACAAATGTATGTATGTATGTATGTAGGTATGTGTTCGCGTATCATATTTTGACTACTTATGCCGAAGTGGGAGTTGTTGCAGTAGAGAAGTGTCTTAAAGTGTGTTTGCATTGTTCAACTTTGCGTTCAACATTTGCGTTCAACTCAGCGCAGGGTTGCACGAAAAAAATTTGAATGGCTAAAAATATCAAAATATGAAAAAATATCAAAATATTCGCCATAAAAAGGTGTTTGCATTGTTCAACTTTGCATTCAACTTTTGGTTGAATGGCCTTTCAACTAATCGCTTTCAACAAAGTTGGTCGCCAGCCAACATTTAGCCATTCAACATTTTTTTCGTGCAACCCTGCGTTGAGTTGAACGCAATTGTTGAACGCAAAGTTGAATAATGCAAACACTGCTTTATGCACTCACTTCGCATTGTTTGTTTACATATATGTACATATGTATTTGTGAGCTATATTGTACTCGTCCTGGAGCTTCTCTTGTGCCTACTACTATGCGTCTTAATGCTTAAGCATTAATTGACCTTCATTTGCAATGAAATGCAAAACGGGTTTAAGCTGCATTAGCGAGTCTGCCTTAATTTAAGTTGACATTCTTGATTATATCACTTAACGTTAATGACTTAAATTACGTCTCAATTGCAGTCAAATTAAGACCAATAAAGCCAATGAGATAGTTTAATGGAAATTAAGTTCGCTGTTAATATTTAGCTTAATTGAAGTGACGATTTAGTTANTTTTTTGTCAGCGTGGCTAAGGAGTAATGTTAATGTAAAAGTATAAAAAAACTAGAAAAAAGTCATGTGATTCTCTGTACACAAATTAAAAATTAAAAGTTTAAAGTCGTTTAATTTATATGCACTCACCATTAAAGTTTCTATACTTTTCAGGTTGAAGGAGCACGACAAGCGCCACTTTCCCTATCTACGCCTGGAGAATTGTAAACAAATATTGCATAGTCACTGTCCATTGAGCTTTAACAGCATATCACCATACACGGACGATGTATGAGCAAAATCAAAAGCAAAAAATAAAAAATAAAAATAAAAAAGGAAACATAAAAAAAGCTATCCAATACATACATTCATTTGTAATTAAATGGCTGTGCATGTTTGTGCAAGCTTATATGTAAACACGTAATCAATTTGTTGCAATAAATTGTTAAATTTGAAAAACAATTCATTTCCAACATATTCATCACAAATCGTTGCAATAAATCAACACAATTATATGCAATTATGTTGCATGTGTGCAGTTTAGGGTTGCCAGATTCTGAAACGTAGAAAGGAGTACATTTCTATTTTCGATAGAAAAAAAGCAGTACAAAACATAAAAAGGGAGTAAAATGTTTATTTATAAAGGTTAAAGGTGTTATGGTAAAAAGGATTTAAAAACGAATTAATAAAATTTAAGTAAAATTCGTGGATAATTAACAATAAACTACTTTTTTCGCAAAATCTATAAATACCCCTTTTATTAAAAAAAAAAAAACCTGTTCAACAGTTATTATTTTACACCCTGTATATGATAAAATATTAATAGCTGGAAAAAGGAGTACAAAAGAAGTACAAAACTGGGAAAGGAGTACATTTCCAGATATTTTTTTTTTGGAGTACAAGGGAGTACATTGCAATAAAAAGGAGTACGTTTACTCCCAAAAGCAGTACGTCTGGCAACCCTAGTGCAGTTATTACCCAAAAAACACTGCAACAAAAATTTTCCAACGTTTTGTAAAATTTTATTTCTCAATTTAATTTGCAGCATTGTGTATCATTTAAAACTAAACATTTTCTAAAAATTTTCTCAAACATTGTTCATCAACTTAAAAACGATTTGAGAGACATTTGAGAAACAATTTATTTCATTCCGTTCCCTTCTGTATGTGTCAACATGGCACAGATGTCGGAGCTTATCGTTAGTCTGCTACATCAGTCACAAAATGGCTCTGAGACTAGGCGGTCGCTGTTATTCGCAATTTGCCTGTCGGAAATTTGCTCCTCGTTCGAGTGAATTGAAATGCAATTAGCTTATTGATTTAATTGAACATTTTTTGATAATCTCATTTTGTCATTTTTGATCTTTTTGTGACTGATGTGCCGACATAGTCTACAGAACGGCCATAATAATAATAATAATAATAATATCCCAATGGTTTTTACCCTCCATTCCCGCCCATCCGCACGAGGGGCGCAGTCCGCATGACGTACGGAACCAGTATTTTAAATTTTTGCGCCGAGTCACGATAGGCAGGAGTTTGTTAAGTGTCGAGATCTAAAACTGTTCAGCTACAGAACTAAATTCATCAGCTGATTTTATGTCTTTGTTTTAATGATTCATTTATTGAGAGAGGACAGTATCGATTTCTTAATGCTGAAAAGCGGATCTGATATATCAAACGTGCTGGAATGAGAGTTAAAATCCTGGCATAAGCAACGGAGTGGGTCGTGCAATTCAAAATTAGTTTTACAAGCTTTCAGAAATAGGGGGCAAAAGTGTCTTGATACCCGGGAGGGAACATTAAGGCTAACTGCGCCAAGAAGAAGCGGACTTGAAATTGAGCCTGTTAGTAATTTAACTATAAAAATTGTACCAAGCATTTGCCTGCGGCTGGAAAGTGTAGGAAGATTAATAAGTTTTAATCGGCTCGTATAAGGTGGAAGGTTATATTGAGAATCCCAACGGAAATTTCTTAAAGCAAAAAGTAGGAATTGTTTTTGAATTGATTCTATCTTGTCTGAGTAAATTTGATACCTTGGATTCCAAACCACCGAACCGTATTCCAGAATTGGCCTAACTAATGTTGTAAACAGGGTTTTAGTGGCATAAGGGTCACAAAATTCTGTTGGCCATCGTTTCACAAATGCAAGTACATTTTTAAAAACGAACAAGTAAAAAAGTCTAAGTTCGGGTGGAGCCGAACATTAAATACCCGGCGCAAGTATTAAATATAGTTTTTAACCATTCGGACAACTACCGACACATGGTAAGAGGAGTGGTTTTACCCCCGTGGCTACGCCCATTTTCCAAAAATTTTTAATATGCTTTTTTTTACGTCTAAAAATCATTGCACATATCAATTTGCAGTGAATAAGCTTTAATAGTTACAAAAATATCGCTCTTTTCGTATTATTGAAAACTACCGTTATATGGGAGGTGGGCGGGGTTACGGTCCGATTTCACCCATTTTCAACACCAACCTACCTTGGGTAAAGGGCAATCTACATACCAAATTTCGTTGAGATATCTCTATTTGTGCTCGAGTTATCGTGTACACGGACGGACGGACGGACGGACGGATGGACGGACGGACGGACGGACAGACAGTCACCGCTTAATCGACTTCCCTATTCATTCTGAGCATTCATGTATACATTTGTCTATATCTATCTCGATTCGTTTTGGCTGTTACAAACAACCGTTATGTGAACAAAGTTATAATATCCTTGTGCACAAGTGCGCTCGCGTATAAAGTGAGAAATAAGTAGTGTGATGCATCGATAGTGACCAACAATTCGTCTACTTAAAGTGAAATATTTTTATGCTAAAAAAAAAATTATTTATGTGTACGTATGATAAAAGGTCGTATCCTGTATTGAAAATCCATATTGGCATAAATCCAAATAAAACAAACTTCTAATATTTTTGTGGGCGAAAAATGCAATAAATCCACAAATCTTAGAAACATGTTGAAATGTTTTTCCACTAAATGCATTTCTTAAGAATTTGTATATTTTCAATATTTATTTATATAGAAAAATTTATGAAAACGTCAATTTATAAAGCTCTTTAAATCTACTTTATTTTTTATGAATAAGGCCAATACACTTTAATTATACTTTAAAATCCTTTTATAAAAGATAGGATATTAAAGGTAAATTTTATCGTTTTTTATTTATTTGTCAAACTAGCTGAAAAAAGCTATTAAATAACTGTGAAACTGCATAAATAAAAATTTCTTTCTATAAAAACTGTGTATATATTTTACATGCTACATTTTCAGCACTATACAAATATTTCAATGAGACTAACTAGATTTTATTCCGTTCTGCTCCACTCATGTTTGAGAAAAATTAAAAATGTGCCTTTTAATTTGAGAATACTAGCAACGGTCATTTGAGATGAATTTGTGAACTAAGGTTTGCGATTTGAGAAAAGGTCTGATTCTCAAATGCAACTCAAATTGAGATTAAACAAAAATGTTTGTTGGGTATTTGTTTAGTTGCATTTAATAATATTTTTTATTAAATTTCTAGCCTTTTTACAGGCGTTTATAGTGCATATACATATATGTATGTGTGTGTGGGTGAATGTTTGTTTGTAAGTGTCAGTTATTTTATTCTGATGAAATGTAAATAAACGTTTGTTATTCGTGGTTGGTTAGTGAATGTGTGCAAGTTTGAAGGTCAACCACACAAGCGTGTATTGTTCTGGTCATGTTATAATGGAAGTTTTGAAAAATTGCACATATATATCTATGTACATACATACATGTATACCTTTGGGCGCAATCACAAATTAACATGCAGACTTTCGAAAAAAAGCCTTTCATTAACGAAATAATAATTGATTGAAAATAAACAATCCTCTTGGGCGATATAAAGTTATGAATGCGTTTTGGAAATTTTTTATATTTATTTTAGTAGCTATAGTCGAATATTTTAAGGCACAAAAAAGGTTGAGGCTTTACTTTAATGCAAAATTTTATAATTGATATATTCATAAATTTACGTTGATGTAAAATTGAGAGGTTTTTATACTTAACTAGCAAACGCCAGGCTTTCCTTGCGGCACCTGATAGGAACTTTTTCCAAGGTGCGAGAGTGCAGGAGTGCTTATCACTTGTGCTGAAGAGCGGTCGGCGTCTCTTTACAGGGAGACAGTTCATTTGATTGGAGAGGCATGAAAGGGAACTAAGCTGGCCTTAGCATTGCGCGAGCAACATGAGTCGAACCACAGCCTGCATACTCAGCTTGAAGGTAAAGCCAGATGTCCCTCCTTACATGCCTAACGAGACGAGGTGGAACAAGAGTTACATGATGTCACATAGGAAAATCTCCTCAATGACAAAGTGAGTTCTTAATCTGACACAACCACCGAAACCTAACCTGAAGTCCGAATAGCTGCTCCCAATAAACTTGGGTATTGGGTATTGCGGAATAGTTCCCCTTACAAAGTCAGCGTGCTCTTTATAAAACAGCTTGGAAGTATGGTTGACGGGCTCCCTCCTTGTGACTTCGTTCGAGAAATCCCCAATCTGTAAAGTACGGGCCATTTTCGCTCGACGACAATAGTTCCGTGATCAGTGCCATTCTAGTGCTCATTTACCCGCCAAATTGTTAGCTTCGCCAATGAGTTGCTGCTAAAAACGATGTTTACCATTGGGCATTTTTTTCGCTCTCTTAAAGTCCTGATTCGTCCATCGTCGAGAAATACCACGCCCAATAGGGGGTATGTACGGACATATACATGGTTTCATTTAATTTACTATGCATACATCTTGTGAAATAATTAATGCAATTAATGTAAGATTATTAATAAAAAGCCTTGAGACCGATGAAAAGTAAATTGCAAGAATTGCATTTAATCCCACTTAACAAATTTCAATTAACTGCTCGCGGCATATTTATAGGCTTAACAAAGTTTGTACGCACATTATTATCGTATTTTCAGTTTAGAATTGGTGCTTACTTTGGCATTTAGCATTTAGAGAGAAAAATTGGTTAATTAAAATTTTCCAACTTCATCCACACTTTCCGTACACACACGCACACCCTTATTAACTCACACACACACACGCACACGCGCGGTTTTCCAAGCTTTCGCATTTACAAACTTCACATTTACTTGTTGCTGTACTACGGCGATTTGCTTCGGTTCATTCGTCTTCGTGTCGTTTTTTTTTTTTGGTTTTTTTGAAAAAAGGGCGTAAGGCAACTAAACACCAAAGAGTGTATGTTACACGTCAAGATTTGGTCATTAGCTGTTTTAATGAATGGAGAGAGCAAAAGCGTATTAAATCTTTAGATCCATACCTAAATAAGCGCGTCAAGCGTTGGGCCTGTCGGCC